ATCTGACGGGCGGCGGCCGAGGCCAGGGGTGACCCGCGCGGGGCGCGTCCCTGGGTGAGGCAGCGTCTCGCCGGCGGCGGCGAGGGGGTGGCGCCCCGGGCTCTCCTGCCCGAGAACTTTTTGGGGATCGGATCGCGCCCGGTTTTGAAATGTGGGCAATGATCAGTGTCCTGCCCTGGGGTGGGGGTGGCGTCCTCTTCGTTAAAATAGATTCTCGGACCCCTTCCTCCGATGGCAGGTGAGAAGGCGGGAGGCCTGGGACTCGCGTTGTGACAAACCTACCAGTTTCTGGTAATTTACTGCTTGGGGAGCCCCTAACTTGTTTCAGCCTCCCATCTCGCGAATACAGGCTTTATTCCGGGACAGTGACTGGCCATTTTACCTCCCCTCCAGACTGCCCACTGCCTTCCCAGGCCAGCAGGCCCGTCCAGGCCTGGCGCTGGGCTGTCCCTCCCCTGGATCAGGCTGTCCCTCCCCGGATCTCAGGGTCCCAGGCCTGGGAGAGGCTGGTGTCTGTCCCTGCTAAAACAAACTTCTCCCTGCCGCTCTGGGGGCCGACCTGGGAGGCACCTTTGGTGAACTACCCTGGAGCTGACCTGTCAGCCAGGCCTGGGGTGTGGAAGCAGCTTTCATCTTCGCAAACGCAGACCACACCCGGGAGCCTGACAGCCGGCTGCTTTGAAACCTGGCTGGCTGGGTGAGCGGGGCCGCCTCAGCCCCCTTGGGGAGCGCCCTGGAGCCCGCTCACTGCCCCCAGTCAGTCTGGGACTGGGACAGCCTCAGCTCCTTCCCTTGCTGGGCTGAGGGCAGTTGAGGTGCCAAATTTGTCAGGGTCCCCAAGTGCTTGGTAGTACAGGTGATTCCTTTTGAAGGGGTGCTGCCTCCTGGAAGGGAGGAGCCAGTAGAAGGAGGTGAGTCAGGATGGGTGTGTCACAGCCGGCCCTGGCCAGCTGCTCCAAGTCTCTATGCTCCCACACCCCGTTCCTCTCCATATCCATGGCTGCTGCTCAGACCTGCCTTCACCAGACTTCCGGAGCCCTGTGTGGTCTGCTGCCCTCCCCAAGGTGCTAGGAAGCCGATGGCTCCACATCCCCCTGGGGTTCAGCTGTAATGGTTAGCTCTGCTGGAAGGGCACCCCCACACCCCCACCCCTGCCTCCTGCTTGCATCTGCTGCCCCAGGCCCCCCATCCCTCGGCTGGATGGTACCTCAGGGGCTTTCTGCCTGTGAGCAACCAGGCAGATTTCCTGAACCCTCCCACGTTGGGGTGAACCTTCTACGCCCCGGAAGACACTGACCAATGACTCTGGAGAGTGAAATTCTTGACTGTGCGTGCTGTCGAGCAGAGGCCTGGATACTGTGTCCCCCGCTAGGCTGACGTCCGAGACACCTCCGGAGCCTCAGGGGCACCAGCTTGGTGGCGGGCACCCAGAGCGGGGCAGAGGTGAAGTGGTCACAGGGCAGCGTGCCCCTCTGGCCACCACCTGCCCTGTGTTTGTCGTTGGTGGCCACAGGCTGCTGGAGGGGATGCCTGAGTCCTCCCTTCCCTCAGGAGCCCCTCTTCTGCCTCCCCAAACACTGACACCCCAGGGGCCTCCGGGAATCGGCCTGCAGCTTGCTCGCACACAGGGCGTCCAGCTCAGCCCTCGGCACCCGCCTCCTCCGTCGGGGCAGGACCCACCCTGTGACTCTGCCCAGCTCCTGGCACGGCCAGGATCCTAGAGTCCCAGCCTGCGCTGCCCCTGGGGGTGAAGGGTCCTTCCAGAAAGGCCTCCTGGAGGATGTACGTAGATGAGAGGGATGTAAGCAGGAGGAAGGCTGGTGGCTTGGGAGGGGCGGTAGTCCAGGCTGGGCAGGACGCTGAGTCGGAAGCTGCCCTGGAGCGGGAGCCTGCGGCAGAAGCCGAGCAGACCCAGCATGCCTCTCACCACTTCTTCACCCCGCAGAGGGCAGCAGAGCTAGTGTGCACACGAGGGCCCCAAAGCCCTCTGTCACTTGGACAGAGCTGAGCTGGCCCCTGCCAAGCCTGGCCCTCTGTCCCGTCGAGCACATGGCTTGGCCCTGCACGAGGCGAGGCCTCCATGCTGCAGCCGGTGCTTCTGGAAGCTGCTGCTGCTGTGTGGGGCTGGTGGGGTGCCCTCAGCACCTGCAGCAGACTCCAGAGTCAGCAAGGGGCTTGGAGCGAGCTGGCGGGGGGCCGCATCTGCGGAGCTCCAGTTGGGGCTTTTCCTGTCTCAAATTGAACATTTTCGCAGTATGTTGGGCGCTGTAGGGAGGGAGATGCCAAGGTGTAGCTGGGTGCCAGCAGCAGTGCCAGCACAGGGTCACACGCGAGTCTTGCAGAGGTGGTGCAGTCACAGCAGGGGCTCCGTGCTCCACCTCGCCCAGCGCGCCCTCACCTAGCCCTCTCCCCCGTGTCTTCTCTCCCCAGGTGCCGCCTCTGGTAGCTCACTTCCAGGCCTCCTCCCCGGTGGCGAGCGGAGTGGGATGGTGTCCCAGGAAACCCTGGAGTCTGCCCAGTGCCCATGCCCTCCCCCGGCTGGCCTGAACGCCAAGGGTGTGCCTCGGAGGAAGCACAAGCGGAAGAGCCGCCAGCACCAGCGGTTCCTGGCCCACAAGGCCTTGCTGCAGGAGCAGGGGCTGCTGAGCTCACCCTCAGCGCCAGGGCCTGGGCCCGGGCCGTCAGCGATGCCCCCCAGGGTGGAGTCCGGCGGGGCCCCGGGCAGCAGAAAGCCTGCCTGCAAGGAAGCCGCGGGGCCCTGGCCGAGCAAGTGTGTGGCCATCGACTGCGAGATGGTGGGCACAGGGCCGCGAGGGCGGGTGAGCGAGCTGGCCCGCTGCTCCGTGGTCAGTTACCACGGCGACGTCCTCTATGACAAGTATGTGCGGCCGGAGATGCCCATCGTGGACTACCGCACCCGCTGGAGCGGCATCGCCCGGCAGCACATGCGCCAGGCCATCCCCTTCCAGGTGGCCCAGAAGGAGGTGAGGGCGGCCAGGGGGGTCCGTACACACGGGCTGGGAAAATGGGGGTGGGCAGGGCAGCGGGGCAAGAGGCCGACGAAGGACTGGCCCAGACCGCCGGGCTCTGGGACCAGAGAGCCACCAAGAAGCCCGAAGACCAGAACCCAGGGCCGTGGCAATCCAGCACCCGCACGGCAGGGACCGAGGGCCACTGGGCCTCACCCGCGCACGTGGGCAGCAGCCCCAGGCTCCAGGGATAGCCGCCAAGCTGGTTTCGCCGATGCAAAGCGATCTCCCCGCACGCACGGCCGGCGCCTCGGCAGACAGGCCAGTAACGGCCGCCAGGGGTCGCCACGGGTGTGGGCAGCACGCTCTGGGATGGCTGCGCCTGGTCCCCCAGAGGCCAGTTCAGTGTCTTCAGATCTCTGTGAGCTGCTGGTGACACCGGCAACAAAAGCTCTGGGAACGGCCATCTGGGCGTCCCCCGCTGCGCCCACCTGGCTTATATCCTTTCCGGGTGCCCCGCCCACAAGGCTGATTGGCCATTTAGCACCAATCGGCCCCTAGCTCGCAGCTGATTGGCCCGCTCCCGGAAGCATCCCGTGATGGGCTCCGAGGGACAGCTGCCTGCAGACTCGCCGAGCAGCAGGTGCGAGGGCGCCTGCAGCCCCCGCCGCCTAGGGCCCGACGGTGCCAGCTGTGAGGTGGAAGCAGCTTCCCTGTATGTGGCCTTTGTGCTGAAGCGTCACGTGTCTGAAATCCGGAGGCCAGGCCCTGCACCTCTGGGCGCTGCTGTACTGTGTATTTCCTCCCCTCGCGTTAAGTGACTTGCAGTTGGGGTGCCTTAAGAGAGCACCCATTCCCAGGCATGCCTGACCATGGGAACACTGCTACGGCCGGTGCCCGGCCCCCCAACAGACATTCCGGGGAAGCCCCAATATGTGCATCCCCAAAAATGCCGTGCAGACTTGCACCCCCAAAACCTCAGGGCTTTGGGGGGAAATGGGGTGAAATCAGTGAACCCCCAATGAAAAGGTCAAAACCTAGTACCAATGGTAGCATAGTTTCATACATTAAATTCATAAAGGCTGCTGCACAGAGAGGGGCCCCACTTTTCCTGGGGAGGAAGGTGGTCATGTTTGCACCACTTTCACTGAGTGAAAGTGATCACTTTTCCGAGGAGATTCTCCAGGGGCATGGGGGTGGGAAGGCTTGCAGTGGGGCCCTGGGGAGAGTGGAGGGCGTGCTCTGAAGCCAGAAAGTGGGCGTGGGCGGGGAGGCAGCCGCTGCTCGGGCTGCTCAGTACTCAGGGGCCTGCCGCTGGCCGGCGGGCGGGGCTCCTCGTGGCTCAGCCCAGCGGGCTCCACGCCCAGTGCTTCTCCATCAGCAGAGGGGAGATTTGTCCTCAGATGGTGCCTAACAGCCGTCTCCTGGGCGGTTTTCATTTTCAAAACGAGCAGACTCCGCAGTGGTGCAGGTTCTTGGGCTCAGGTAAACTTGGCCAGCGCCGGCCAATGCGGAGCCTGCGTGGGGCCGGCAGGAGTGGGCAGCAGCGGAGGGCTCCGTGCGCGCAGGGCGCTGACTCGACGGGTGCTCCTGTCTCCCCTCCACTCTGGCCCACAGATCCTGAAGCTGCTGAAGGGCAAGGTGGTGGTGGGCCACGCGCTGCATAACGACTTCCAGGCGCTCAAGTACGTGCACCCTCGGAGCCACACCCGGGACACCACCCACGTCCCCGCCCTCCTCGGCCAGCCTGGGGCCCCCACACGCACCCGCGTGTCTCTGAAGGACCTCGCCCTGCAGCTGCTCCACAAGAAGATCCAGGTGTGTGCATGGGGCCACCCCAAGACTGGCACAGGCAGCCCAGGGGTTCTCACCACTGCCCCCCTGGGGAACAGGGACGCTGGCTACAGTCGTGCAGCTGGGCTTGGCTCGTACCCTGAAAGTCAATTCCCAGAAATCAAGTCTCATACGTGTAGATGGGGGGCGGTGCAAGCTTTTAAGTTGCGCGTTGAGGTGGCTGTGTGATAACCCTGTGCCCAGGCTGTGCGTGCTCAGCTTTTAAAAGACATGTCTGTAAAAGGGGATTTATTTGAGAAACAGACCGGGCAGATGCCTCCACTTGACATTCAGTCCATGAAGAGGTGGAGCAGGGAGCGGTGAGCCCCATGGTGTTTGTGAGGCGGGGTGGGGGGCAGCTGCTCCCTGGACCCGGAGCTGGGTGCACGGAGTTGGGGTGTGAGCCAGCGGGCCCTCCTGGGAACACCTTGAAATGCGTGTTTAGAAGCTCCAGAGTGAAACGGCACCTGCATTCCAAATCTGTTGTCGGGGCTGGGGGTCCAGCTGAAGTTTGTTCCCTTATGCAGCACCCACAGCCCTCGGGGGCAGTGCTCCGGGCACCGGCCCCCCGGCTTCAGGCGTAAACAGCGGCCCACACAGGGCCCTGGGGCCAAGGTCGACGGGCTCACGGGGAGGCGCCGACAGTTTAACAGCCCGTGGCTTCCGGGAGAGCGTGTACGGTTAGCTGTAGCGACTGCTCAGGGCCGCTGCTGGGCGGCCGAGGCAGTGGCCGTGGGTGCGCTTGGCAAGGAGCCCCGGCTCCCGAGCCGCTGGGCTCCCCGGCTTTATTCTCTGACGCAGGGCATTTTGGGGACAAACCAGGCTCGGCTCTCAGGATTTTGACTTTTAGAGATTTTCAACTTCAGGGACCTTGATCTTCGGATTTCAGCATTCGGACATGTCCCCTGCATTGTGGTGGGCCTGCTTGCGGCCTGCCCCCACGCGTCCAGCTCTGCCCTCCTCCGTGCTCAGAGCGGGACCGAGTTCTCCGTCCAGGCAGTGGTGCTAGCGGGGGCCTGGCCTTGAAAGTGGGGTTCTGGGCTGGCTCGCTAGCGGGAGCCTGGCCTTGAAAGTGGGGTTCTGGGCTGGCTCGCTAGTGGGGGCCTGGCTCAGAGGAGTCACTGTGTGCTAGAACCTCGCCCTTCTCTCTGCACCAGCTGTACCCCCCTTCTGGAAGGACGTGCTCTGGCCTCGCTGGGGGCGCACAGTGACGCGTGCATTCTCCCGTAGGTGGGCCACCACGGCCACTCGTCTGTGGAGGACGCGGCGACGGCCATGGAGCTGTACCGGCTGGTGGAGGCGCGGTGGGAGCAGCAGGCCAGCAGCCTCTGTGCCTGCCCCGACGCCAGAGAGCCGGACAGCAGCCTCGACTTGGAGCAGTACATGGAGGACCGGTACTGGCCGGAGGACCTGGCCCAGACCCCCGGCGGGGGCCGGGGGCCACACGGGACAGAAGGGAGTGAGTGCGGGAGTCCATAGGGAGTTGCGCAGGGCAGGCTGTGGGCCCCGAGGTCCCAGGAGCTGGGGTCTCCTGGCCTCCGCCCCCTGGCCTCCGGCGGGGCTGCTGTCTCCCCCGGGGTGCACCGCCCCAGTGAGCCATCTGGGGAGACCGCTCCTCCCTCCCAGGGCGGGCGTGTCTGCGCCCTGAGCTCCCGTGGCTGGCCCTGCCTCTTCGTCCAGGGTCATCTTGGTTCTGCCTAAATGTGCCCTGAAGCTAGAGCGGAGCCGCCCTCAGGGAGACCTGTCCCTCCCAGCTGGAGCCCTGGTGCCGGCCGCTGTAGGACCCGGTTCCGGGCTGGACGGGCAGCAGAGCCCGGCCGCCAGGTTCCGCTGTGGAGGACGGAGCGCAGGTCAGCTCTGGGTGGACGCTGCGGCCTGTTTATTTGGATCTAAATCGCACCCCCCTCCTGCCCCAACGCTGGCTCCTCTAGGCCCAGCCAGCTCTGGGGCTGTGGGCTTGCTCCGATGACCTTGCTGTGTTTATCAAGAGCCAGGCGTCCAGTCCACGGGGCCTCTGCGGTCCTCGGGCGGGGTTGGGTGACAGCTCTGCCCTGGGCCCACACTTGGGCTGGTGCTTCTCAGGGCATTTTGATCATCCCTCTGGTTATTGATTTCCTCCAAATTTCAAAAAACATTCTGTCGGGATCCCAAGGGTCATTTTGGGGCACCGAGAAAGCCAGCCGCTCCGGTCACACCGACCTCTGTGCTCGCCTCTGCGGCTTCAGGGCCAACTCGCCCGGCGCCCGCCGTGGCCGGTGCCCGCCCTCCGAGTGGGGGCAGCGCATGGCCGCCTGCACTGTCGGGAACCGTGACCCACCCAGAAATGTCCCTGCTGGGTCCCCCCAGCAGCCAGGCCCATCGGGGAGGCTGCAGAGGGGTCTGTCTCCCCTTGTCCTGCGCCCAGGAGCCTGGGAGGGGACCCCGCTGGGGCTTCTGCCACAGGTAGCGCTGTCGCGGCCCCCCCACCCCCACCCCAGGCAGGCGCCGGCTGAGAGTCCCTGGCCGGCAGCTGGCCCCATCCAGGACTTTGTTCTGGATTCCAGAAAAGTCGGCTACTGAGCCAGACCCACAGCAGAGCAGTAGCTCTGCTCTGGTGTGTGGGTGAAGGGAGGAGGAGCTGTTCCCAGCGGGAGCGTCCTGGGCTTAACCCGGCTTTGCTGCAAAACCACTTGTTCTGGAATAAAGCGCGACTGGATAAGTGAAGTGGCCTTCTGAAGGTTCTCAACCTTTGCCAGAGGGGGGCTAGGCGGGGGGGTGCTGGGGCCTCTGAGGGGGCCTCAGAGCTCC